TTGGACCCACATTTGGAGTCGCGCAAACCGATATTGCAAGGCCTCTGAGCCTCACGAGGCTTCAACAAAATCCCGAAACCCCTTTAGCTTGCAAGATTACGAGGCCTCGGGGACCCGGGCTTATAATACTATTAAACGGGTCCCCGCAGGGCCTCGAGCCCGGACAAACCCTGGCTGCCTCTTCCATGCAAAAGACAAAAGAATTTTAAAGCCGCGGCTGGCTCCAAGTCCTCTTCATTCTCTATTCAAAACGCACGACAGACCTCGAAGGGCCTCGACCGGTTAAGATGATCCTGCAAGCTATTCTTGCTGCCGCAAGTTCTAATTTCAAACTTCTCGACGGGCCTCAGGAGAGGCCTCGATGATCCTGAGCTTTCCAAAGATTTCGACGGGCATGAGAAAGTCCTGAAAAGCCCTCTGCATGACATTGCAAGCTGATGTTGATCTCCATCGGGCAAGCAAACTATATCGCGCCCTGTTCAACTGGCGTGCATGCCAAGTGAACGCTCCCAACCATTTAAACCTCAACATGCCCTTCAATGGAGAAGACAAACTGACGTTCACAAGGCTTCTGCCGGAGGCGTCGGCCTTCCCTATATCTTCTTCTTCATTGGGCGCGTGGCAACTTAAGTTCCGGGCCGGCGCAACACGCGTAAATATCTTCGCTGTTCAAAAACCCAAGCCTGCCAAGAGTTTCAGTCTGCGATGTCTGGCAAGCGACTCTGCACAACCACAGGAAACGTTGAAGCCGCGTTGGTCAACTTCCCAGAGATTGAAGCGTGACTCCTATCCACAGAAAAAACCAACAAGACCTGCAGCTCAGCTGGGCTTGCCAGGGCAAAGCCCAAAGTTACGGGGCTGTCGGGCGACCCCACTTTCAGGCCCGCAAAACACATGCAATTCTGGCTTCGCCAGGATGGGCCTCCACAGTTGCAGTTCTGCCTCATTGCAGCATTACAAAGACGAGCGTGCAGCTGCTTCGGACAAGCCCCCGTGCACGCTGCCCGAAAATTACAAGGGCGCAGCCAACGAGATCCGGTTGCGCGGGCTCAAATTCGGGCCAAAAAACGGGGCCGTCTCGCGGCCCCAAAAATGGGGCCGCGAAATGGACCCAGCTTCCTTATAGTCAATTGGAACTAAATTGGGGGGTTGTGAAACGGTGACCCCAAAATTGGGGCCGTTTGGCGGCCCCACTTTTAGGGCCGCGAATTCTTCTAATTTTTGCAATCTCGCGCTTTCCACTCGGGGCCCACGGACAAGCACTCAACGCGGAAAACTGAGAACCACGACCTCTGCAGGCAGCTTTCTGGTGGAAGTGATCAACATGAAAGAAACGTGCACAGGGGAGGCCCACGCACACGAAGCCAGAACTGCTCAGATTTTTGGACCCACATTTGGAGGCCTCTGAGGCCTCACTTGCGGGGGTTCGAGGCCTTCAGAGGCCCCCCGAGGCCTTCCGAGGCCTCACGAGGCTTCAACAAAATCCCGAAACCCCTTTAGCTTGCAAGATTACGAGGCCTCGGGGACAAGGCCTCGAGCCCGGACAAACCCTGGCTGCCTCTTCCATGCAAAAGACAAAAGAATTTTAAAGCCGCGGCTGGCTCCAAGTCCTCTTCATTCTCTATTCAAAACGCACGACAGACCTCGAAGGGCCTCGACCGGTTAAGATGATCCTGCAAGCTATTCTTGCTGTCGCAAGTTTTAATTTCAAACTTCTCAACGGGCCTCAGGAGAGGCCTCGATGATCCTGAGCTTTCCAAAGATTTCGACGGGCATGACAAAGTCCTGAAAAGCCCTCTGCATGACATTGCAAGCTGATGTTGATCTCCATCGGGCAAGCAAACTATATCGCGCCATCTTCAACTGGAGGAGGCCTCGGACCGGCCTCGAGAAGCTTCGAAACCTTCAGCAAAGTCTGAAGCTCAAAGATGATGTTGCGTGCATGCCAAGTGAACGCTCCCAACCATTTAAACCTCAACATGCCCTTCAATGGAGAAGACAAACTGACGTTCACAAGGCTTCTGCCGGAGGCGTCGGCCTTCCCTATATCTTCTTCTTCATTGGGCGCGTGGCAACTTAAGTTCCGGGCCGGCGCAACACGCGTAAATATCTTCGCTGTTCAAAAACCCAAGCCTGCCAAGAGTTTCAGTCTGCGATGTCTGGCAAGCGACTCTGCACAACCACAGGAAACGTTGAAGCCGCGTTGGTCAACTTCCCAGAGATTGAAGCGTGACTAGAAAAAACCAACAATGCGGCCATGTCTTAGCTGGCCACTTTAATGTACAGCCAAGTGGGTTGGAACTTAGCAGTAAATGCCCTTCTTTTATGCTTGTTCCATGTCCAAGCACAGTAAACAAGCTCTGGAAAATCCGCGATGCAGTTTGCTTGCCGCAATGGAAATCAACATCAGCTTGCAATGTTCAGCTTAGCTGCCCAGAGCAAAGTCCAAGGCCTGACACATGCAATTCTGGCTTTGCCAGGATGGGTCCGTGCAAATAAACCCAGCTTCCTTGTAGTTATTTGGAACTAAATTGTGAAACAGTGACCCATTGGGGCAGCTTTCTGGTGGAAGTGATCAACATAAAAGAAACGTGGCACAGAAAAGACCCACGCACACAAACCAGAACTGCTAAGATTTTTGGAGCCACATTTGGATTTGCGCAAAACGACATTGCAAGCTCTAAGGCTTTACTTGGAACGTTCAAGGTCTTTCTTCAAGGCCGGGGTTTCAAGGCCTTCCAAGGCCTTACAAGGCTTTGAAAAAAAAATCCGAAACCCTTTTTAGCTTGCATTACAAAGCGGGCTTCTAATGCTATTAAACGGGTTTCCGCAAGGCCTCCAGCCCGGACAAACCCTGGCTGTCTTTTCCATTCAGGTTAGGCAAAAACAAAGTTGGAGTTCCCTGCTTGATCTTGCAAGAGGGTGTTTTAAAGGCATTAAAGACAGCGTGCGGCTTTCTTCAAAAGGTCTTTGATTCATTGAAGTGTAAAGACCTGTAGCTCAACTGGACTTGCCAGGAAAGTCCAAAGTCCAAACTTTTCTGAAGTCCAAAAAAAAAACATGCAATTCTTGCAAGCATAAACCTTTACAGTGGTTGTTAGCTTATGCAGAGAGCTTTTCAGAACTTTCTTATGCCCATCGAAATCTTTGAACAGAATTATCAAGGTCTTTTCTAAGGTTAAGAAAATAATAGAGAAAGTAGGCTTATGGGGGGGGTTTTTTTTTGAGCCAAAAAACGCTCCAAAACGCTCCAAAAATGGCTCTTTGAGTGAGAGAGGTGTTAGGAGTGTTCATTGCTGAAAAAAAACGCTCAACTTGGCTCCAAAAACACCACCTTCAACCTGAGTAAGGAGAAGGTGTTCATTGCTGAAAAAAAACGCTCAACTTAGCTCCAAAACAGCACCTTCAACCCAAGTTGACTCGGTGTTGCGTTGTGACCGCGTTTCTGGCAGTGGCAGGGCAGCGGTGGCATGGCAGCAGGGCGGAGGCAGGGCAGTAGTGGCAGGGCAGGGCAGCAGTGGCAGGGCAGTAGTGGCAGAGCAGTGGCAGGGCAGCAGGGCGGAGTGGCATGGCGGCAAGGGCAGTAGTGGCAGGGCAGCAGTGGCAGTGGCAGGGCAGCAGTGGCAGCAGTGGCATGGCAGCAGGGCGGAGTGGCAGGGCAGCAGTGGCGAAGCAGGGCAGCAGGGGCGGAGTGGCAGAGCAGCAGCAGTGGCAGCAGTGGAAGGGCAGCAGTGGCAAGGCAGGGTCGCCACTGGGCCGCCACTGGGTCGCCACAAGGTCGCCAGGGTCGCCGCTGGGTCGCCACTATGATTTCAAGGCTCGCTCGGTTTGATTCTCGGCTTGATGGTTTTGCATCATGACTGCCGATCGCCTGCGTCGCTGAGTGCATCGTTCTCGGGGCGAGGGACCAGCTCGCCGCGGAATTGGAAAACCTAGTGTCAGCAACGTGTAGTTGTGTTCTTCATGCCGTGCGGCAGTGCTTTTACGATTCGCCTCTGTTTGTCGCAACACCGCTGTAACGGTCACTACGTGTCACCACGTGTCACTACGGATCACTACGGGTCACTACGTTGTCACTACGCCCAAGCTCTTCAAAGGCTCAGCGCCACTCCAGCCTAGCCGAGCAAGTAAAAGCCCCACACAGAAAAAACATGGCAGATGAAAGGGGGAAATATCATCAAGCTGGTCTACGAAAATCCGAGAACCGGCTTCGGCAATCAAGCAAAAACCCTCAAACAAGCTCGATGGCAAGATGTGACGCGCTTCCTGGCTTGATCGAGAGGAGCGCCCCCAACGCGGTTATAACAGACGACTGGTTGCCACGGGTCACTACGGGTCACGGGTCTACGGGTTACAACGCAGGAAAAGATTGGATCCATCGGGCGGATGCGTGTCACAGCGTAAAAAGTTCTATCTCGTGTTTCTAATCCTATTCAAAATCTGTATTCCCAGATTTGGTGTTTCAGTTTTGTTTGCTAGTTTTGTTGCGGCCAACTGCTGGTTAGCTTCAATGCCGTTGAGTGGCTGTTTTGCTCGCGGCCGCTTGCCTCCGGCGCCGTAGCTGTCTGTGTGAGACACTGATCAGCGACAAGGGGCATAGCGATAAGTGGTGTCAGACTGCAATGTAAAGCAGTGCACCCCTCATCGCTGACGCTGCACCCGCTCATCTTTCAGCCGCGACTTCTGTACCCTTGCGCGTGCGAAAAGAGACATCAAAGAATGCAGATTGTTTAAGTAGCCAGCTGGACAAGCAGGCTGACATAGAACTGGTGTGGCCTCAAAGTAGAGATCGTTCACTATTTGCTGCACGTTCGAAGCACGTCACTTGCAAACATGGCCACACCGACGATTTACACCATGCACGTCGCAAGGTTGACGAGTGAAACCCAGAGCCCGCACAGCTGCGAGCGCGGATTCTCCAATTTCATTCACGAATCTGCCAGAAAAATCACGCTAACAAGTAAGACTCAAAGTTGAAGAACGCCAGGGCTGGACAACACTTACGCAAAATTGCTGTCATGCTTGAAGCGTTCTACATCATGCTGGCATGAGCAAGCAATGCAAGCGCTCTTCCCCCAGATTTCTTCAAATGGATTGGCCGCGTCTGTGCACTTAAGCACGACCAAGAGCGCCTCTGTGAAACTGCTTTTGACCAGCACTGGGCACGCCCAGCTTGACTTGAAAACTTGAACGCCGTAGCCTGCTCAAGGAATCATTGAACTGCTGTTTGCTAATCCTGGAAGTCAAGCAAAGCCGCAGCGCAAAAAACGTCCGTGATGCTGTTGCTACCTCAGCCGAGAAGCTCACACAACAAGGACGGATGCAAGTTCGCAGCGCTCAAACTCCGGCGCTGCTGAGGCACACGCGTGCAACTTAGGCATCGTCCACTGGTGGCAGCACGAACCCATAGCAATCTGCCCTGCGAGCGGGGCGGCGGCAAAACCCCTAAGCTGAAAAGTCATCGAAACCAAGTGCTGGGCTCAGTTGTGTCGCGCAGTCTTGCTGACATCGTTTCTTCCTTCACCCAGTCCTTGTCCTGCGAAGTCGCGCTGAGACAGCGGCACAGGGAGGGCTAGGTGGGAGAGTTGACATCAAAAGCTCTCCTTCAGGCTGTATACACTAATCTTGGATGCTGCGATGGACAGTTCCTCTTCCGCTTTGATTGCCTGATTTCATGAGCAAACAAGGACACTCTAAACTTCAATCTTTTTCATCGCCCATCTGCAAACAACTCCAAAGACAGGACGAGCTAGATCCACGCGCAAGATCCAAGCGCAGGGCCTTCTTCAAGTCATCCACCTGACGTCAAAAGCGTGGAAAACCGCTCATAAACACAGACATGAAGTGAGGCAATCAAGTAAGTGGATCTAAGGTCACTGCGTCAGCCAATGCTCCTTTCACTTTGAAGGCATTGCCCGTCGGCTCGAACTCCTTGCCGTCATCGAACTTCATTTGTGAGTCGGCAACAGAGATGCGAACAAATTCAGCCACCCGTCTTGGAGAATGCACTGCTTTCAACGTGGACATGATTTGTTTGCATCGGAATCCTCCTCGGGCCTCAGCTTGTCCGTGACCGTCCGATCCTGCAAGTCGAGCGGGTCAAAACTTCGGCAGACGTGAACCGACAGCAAACTGAAACTCCAGCAAGAAACAGCCAAAACTCCCAGCCCCGAACCGCTTCCCGAAGCCCCTCCCCTGTCCACGAACGGACGTGTGCCCCCAATCTCCGCCCCCTGCCGACAACGGTGCGCCGGGCGAGCGTCCAAACAGCCGTGCCCCAACCCAGGATTCAGCTACTGAATGCTACTGATGCGGTCAACGATTGCTTGCGCTCCAATCACCGGCATTTGCTCTCAGACAGCACAGTCCTTGCGGATCAGCTCCCGCACCCAGACGGATGAGATTGAGGTCGCGCCTGCAGAGCTTCGCAGAACACCAAAAGCTTGTATCTCGTTATGGGCAATCGCAAGAGCTTCGCCGGTTGTGAACTGCAAGCGAGAAGGACGAAGGAAAACGAGTGCCTCTAGTCTTCACTTCTGCGAGCTCCCTCTTCACGTCTGCGAGCTCGAGCTCCCTCTTCACGTCTCTTACGTCGAGCTCCGTGATGCGAGCTGACAAGGCATCAATCTCGTTGAAAAAGATCTCTCCTGCCACAAACCTCCTGAAGTCGCGAAGCTCCTCGTCGCTCATCTTCTGCTGCTCGGACCACACTCGCTCCATGCAAAGGGTCACACCTTCTTTCAAGCCAAACTTCAACCTGGCTACGCAAAGGTCTGCTATCTGCTGCACCGATGCCAGATCGGGGTGTTGAGCCCCAATCATGATGGCCCCGAAGAAGACAGTCACCTTGCCGGCAATCTCACGATCTGACCCCGCCAGCAAGCCTCGCTTTGACTGACCGCTGCTGGTGGCCAGAAAATCGGCCCACTGCACTCCTGGTGGCTGAAAGGATGTGCTGCCTTCAGGATTGCAAGTCAACAGAAGGTTCGTGGGAGTCGGGTCCGGCATGTGGAAACTCAGGCCTATCATAAGGAGCATATCGTGCACGTACGAGTACAAGAGCCCCAACAGCCGACCGCGTGTGACAGCACCGGCACAATTGCACAGCCCAGTCATCCAGTCCTGGACTGTGCAATTCGCCTGCTGCCTCACTTCCAGATGCACCTTTGCGTCTGGGAGGTCAACGTGCTCGATGCAGAGGCTGCACGCCGAGTTTGGGAGAAAGACCCCAAAACACATGGATTGCAGACTGGCTGCCTTGACGCCAATCTCAGCACCTCTGACAACTGTCTCTTCCGGCATCGCAAGCAAGAACTTGTTCGCGGCGCGCAGGACCTGTGACGCCATCTCTCTCGCCTTCTCATCCCCACGTGGTACGGGAGCAGTCAGCACAGCATCTGCCATCTTGGAAGAGTTATACTTGTGAGAAAGAGTCGAGCTAACAAAGACAGCCATGCCGACAGGGCAATCCTTGCTCTTCAGGAAGGCCGTTGTGCCACCCGCGAAGCTCTGCTCGGCATCCAATGTGCAGTGGGACCACTTTGTCAGCGAAGCGTTGCACCTGGGGCAATCCTGCCCGCCTGTTCCGCACACAGCCTCCTTTGCCAGTGGTAGACGATCATCCGCGCACAAGACAGCGAGAGCGAGCGCGGCGGCCACGACGCGACGCCACATGGCTGCTCACAAACACTGGGGCTGTGCTATCGCGGAACTTCAATTGTCCAGCTTGTTGTGTTTTGTGGGGCCAATCGGGCCGGCACCGAAACAAATCCCATGTGTGACGATTTTCCAACATTCGCTCTACAAGAAACCAAACGAGAGCGGCAGACAGGACTTTGATGAGCCTGCACCACAAACTGGAGGACATAGAACTACACTGCATGGCACCGTTTCGGGGCAACGCGAAGAAAACGACAAACGCCAGTGTGGAAAAAACAAAAGCTTGCCCCGAACGAGTCCACCCAAACTGCTTTTGGGAAAAGGAGAGTTGCGGGTGAAGCCACGACTCAAAAATGGGCTAAGTGTGCCAAATGACCACGTACACTTCGAACCCCATGAAGCAAAACACCATGCTTTGCGGAACACTTGAGCTTTTGACATGCTTTTCTTCACAGGGAGGTTTTGAGGCAGGTCCGCCAAGGTTTAGCACATCTTCAGAGAGGGCCCAGCTTCAGCCCCCAGAACCCCCAATCCCGACCAGGCTGCCTGCGAGTTTCCCCAGCAACCCTGAAGCCCCGAACCGAGCCGGTTTCGGCAGGCGCACGCTGCTCTGGATGTCAAAAGGACGGCATGCCCAATGCCAAGCGCCCTGCGCGTGGACGACGGCGGGGCCTCGACGGGCACTCGCAATGCGGGGGCTCGACGATGCGGCGACGGTGCGACGGCGGGCGGCAACGACGGCGGGCGACGCGACGGCGAAACGGGCACGTCGACGACGACGGGTGACGACGGCGACGACGCGGCGATGATGCGGGGCACGGACGCTCGATGGTGCGGTCGGCTCGGACGATGAGCTCGACGGACGACGCTCGCCTCGGACGATGCAACGAAGGTGACCGCAGCGCTGACAGTAAGTTGAAATGCACGGCCGAGCGGGAGAGAAGGGGTGCTACGGGGTTAGGGCGGCAAAGCACTGCAGGGCAGCTGTGGATCAAACCTACTGCGAGGACGAAGCGGGTTAGGGTGCCCTGAAACAAAACCACACCCAAAAACAAAAACAACGCTCAAGCAAACTGTTACGAGACTACTGCTACAAAGCAAAACCGAGGAATAAATCCATGAACACGCCGCCGCTCCAAGCAAACCCCTTTGCGCCCCGACACCCAAAAAAGGGGCGAGACAAGCGAGACATTGAGACAAACTCCCTTCTACCAGCCCGGGCCCCCGAGACGAGGGATGCAAGCGAGACATTGAGACAAACTCCCTTTTACCAACCCGGACCCCACAGAGAGATGAAGGAGCAGGACAAACTCCCTTCTGCCAGCCCGGGCCTGTCAAAGAGACGAGGGAGACAAGCGAGACAGTGAGACAAGCGAGACAGTGAGACAAACTCTTCTACCAGCCCGGGCCCCCCGGACAAACGGGGAGACAAGCAAGACAAACTCCCTTCTACCAGCCCTCCAGAAAGACGAGGGAGACAGCGAGACATTGAGACAACGGCTTTGTCTCGTTTTCTCGCTTGTCTCACCAGGATCTGTCCCGCCTACATGCCCACGGGCCCAATCGCGCTCATCCTAAACGCCCGCGGGATAGCCACAGGCTCGCGCCCAAATACCCACAAAAATCGTGCACTCGCCACAGTCCGGCGCGAAGACCCGGCAAAGCCTTTTTTGACCCGCGGGTGGAGCCGGCTGTGCCGCTTTAGCCGGCTTAGCAATTGCGTTGAAAATCGGGGGCGCGGCTGGTCCGCGCCCGGCGATTCCCTGTGGCTGTGCTCGACCCATCCTAAACCCTGACCACGTTCCGAGGCTTGCACCGTTGGGGAACGGGGACGGGCGAGCTGGGCGCTGCATGGCATGTAAGGTCCATGGGAGTTTGGAGTGAGAAATGGCGCAATGTCGGAATCGCTGCAAACACAACGTGCCGGCCACAAACAAGCCGAAGCCAATCTTGCCGCTGTGAACCACTTCCTGGAGTCCGCTTTCCGAACGGCCTGGACTCGCCGTGGCTCTTCAATCCGCGCATAACCTGCACCGTGACATTCAGAACATGCCGGGATACTTGAATCATGCGCTCGCTCTGGATGATTACAGGAGGGCGGGTGTGGATCGAAGACGATGCGGGAGACTCCACGGCCCGACGGGAGCGAAGATGGGCGACCAGGAGTTGCCCGGCAGGCCGCCGCTATCACATGCAAGTTACTGCTGGGCACCATGTTGCAGATGATGCAGCAGGCCCTGGCCAACATGGCAAACAAAAACGACGAGAACAACCTGAACTTGACATTCGCTGTGTCCAATTGGACACTGCAGAAACAGCTGAAAGATGCAACTGGCCAAGGTCCTCTGCGACTGGGCAGCCAGGGCAGCCAAGGTTTGATGGGCCAGGCAATGGGCATCCAGGCGGACCAGAGTCTCTGCACCTTTGCCACGTCGGAGGTGCACTCGCCAACCCATAGACGACGCCGTGGGCACGGCCACGCGGCTCGTGACCAATGCCATCTCCACGCGGGCGCAGGACACGGAGCTCCATCACGGGCGGCTCGCAAGGCACCATCGTCAACAGGGCGACATCCACACACAACAGGAGCTCATCGGCGGCAGCACGGGCTTGCGGGCACAGGGTGCAGGTGGTGTCAACAGCGGGGACGTGACGGCGGAGGCGCTGAACCTCGCCGCGGCCGGCAACGCGCAGCTCCGGGGCTCGGGCGAGCTCTCCGCCTCCTCCGCTGGCAGCGTGCAGCCCATCTTTCTGCGCACGGCGGCGACCGGGCCGGCCAACCTCATCGTGTGGGGGGCCAACGACGGCGAGGTCATCGTGAACTACAGCTTCCAAAACCTCTCACGAGAAGCTGGAGCGTGCGGGGCTCGAGAAGCTGCAGCAGGTCTTCGCCGTGGCGCCCAAGTGGTCCCGGCGGAGCGAGGGCAGCTAGAAGCGCACGCTCGGCTTCATCGCCAACGAGGTGCAGGACACGGGGCCCGTGGGCCAGGCGCTGTGCGGCAAGCTCGAGAAGATGGGGGAGCTCGTGACGCTCGACTACAACCGCATGTGCTGCGTTTTGTGGCGAGTCTGCCAGGGGCTCCGTGGAGGCGCTGGAGAAGGGCAAAAAGCGGGGGCGCTCGTGAGTTCTTTTTCACAGTTTTCATGCGATATAAATGAGCTCCGAGCTGTCAGCTGCTTGCGAAGGCGTCATACAAAATCCTTCTGAGGAAAATATAGTTCGGCTGCTGGATTGTTGGTCGCCGGAATGGAAGCATCGCGGGCGTCAACAAGACATTGGCTCGGGATCATATGAGATTCACTGCACCCTGGGGCTTTACGCTTTTGGAGGCAATGCTCCCAGCATGTCAAAACCTTCCGATGCGAAAGAGCATGCATTGCGCTCAATCACTTCTTGCGCGATCGCATTCCGGATGGAAAATGGGTTCCTCGCGGTTATTGAACCCAGCATCGAGCTTCACCGAGACATGGGATGTGATCATGCCGAACTACGCGATCGTGCGGACGATACACGGGAGGTAGAGTGTGGACGAAGATGACAAAGGCACTTCGCCTGATGAGGGGGTGATAAAAAAGAAAATTCATCAGCTTCGAGGCTTCGACATGCATGACTGCTCAGTGTCGTTCAACGCTCGTCGGTTCCATACATATGTGGGCGATTGCGATGTACACCCACGGCTTTTAGACGATGCACCGATGAAAACCGCAAAGAATGGGCATGTTTGAATTTCCCCGCACCAGAACGTGCCAACACAGATTGACGAGTTTTCCTGCGCCCCTGCTGCCCTGCCACTCCGCCACACTGCTGCCCTGCCACTGCTGCCCTTGCCACCCTGCCCGCTCCGCACTGCTGCTGCCATTGCACTCTGCCACTGCCAGCCCGTGCCACTACTGCATGCTCCGTACTGCTGCCATGCAACTCAACTGCCACGGAAAACCAGCTTGTACTTTTGCACCACAGCGAATTCACATGTGTTGCGCCGGCTAAGTTGTCGCGCGCCCATTGAAAGAAGACAAAGGAAAGGTCAACGCCTTTGGCAGAAGGTTGAAAGTGTTCACTTGGCATGCAAACATTATCTTTAAGCTTCAGGCCCGTCTAAGGCCTTCTTCAGTTGAACGGCTTCGCTGGTTTGGCTTTCTTTCCTTACCAGCTTGATGTAGGCCTTGACCTTCAGCTGCTCTTCCCGGCTCGAGACACTGCCTCCATTGCCGTGGTTGCAGAAGAGCTCTTCTTTGTTTTAGCGGCCAGACTTTCAGCTTCTGCGGGCAAGTAGATGCCGATCTGTCGTAGGGCACGTATCTATTTGGACAGATTCCTCAGCAAAGAAGTTGGAAAGCGGGCTTCAGTATTCTTTTCAAGAATTGGCTGGGTGGCAGTTGTCAACGTCTTGCATAATCTCTCTCAGAGTGGCCTTTAACCACTCTTTGCAACATCTTTGCGCCTCCTTCTGCATTCTTGCTAATTCCTTGCTGCGATCGCTTAAATCATTCATCGGGGCTTCTGTCAGCTGCAGCCATCTTGAAGATCCACAGATACTAATTCTTTCCAGAAGGTTGTACTTCGCGTAGTAGTGCTCCAGCTCACAAACTGCCTCCCTCCAAGGACTGCTTTCTCCAGCTCGCATTCCATGGTCTTGCACTGCTGCCTTGTCACCGTTTCGCCAGAAGCTGCGCGTAGCACGTTGGGCGGACAACCTGTTCTGCTTGATTGCTGTATTGCCGAAATCTTCTCTGTCTGAGTAACGTGCTCTATGGGATACGGGCTTACACACATCGAATTCTTTTCCGCGAGCAAGAAACCTTGGCGTCTGCGCTGCTTTTTGCTTCACGGCTTGGAATGC